AGTCTGATCCTACCACCTGTCATAAGTGTTCCCATGCTGCCCCCTGTACTCCTGCCAAATTTGAGCTTTCTAGGTCCACGGGAACAGGAGTTATGAATTTGCGGCCCAAAATTTCTAACGCGCACGCCGCGCTCCCTGTGGACGGAATCCGGTCCTGCCACCTACCGTTGGTGTACCCATCCTGCTCCCCTTACTCCTACCAAATTTGAACACTCTAGGTCCACGGGGACAGGAGTTATGAATTTCCGGTCAGACACACACACCGACACACACACACACACACACACACACACACAAACACACCGACACACTTAGCGAATTATATAAAGTAGGATGGTTTTGAGACCAAGCATCAGTTTTGGAGTTCAACGGGTAGCAAAGTTTCACCATACCTCATTGCTTTCATTTGACGGAATTTGCCCATCAAACGAAAGAAATGATGACAATTCGTGCATTCTCGGTCTTAATGTTGCTGTTCGCTCCTTTTCAAACATTTCGACAGAAATCCACTGGCTTTCTGCATTTTCCTCTGTTATACACTTTTGCTGTAGCCAACTATTCATATTGGACTTCTGCACCATACTGTATTTCTCCCAGTACTTTGAGTACAAAATCGATCACTTTCTTGATTCTTCCTCCATTTCGCATTCCTTGATATAGGTGCTACATATCTTGCCTACAGGACTATCTAACTTTGGATTGAAGTCTCAGCCTTGCTGAAATACAGGGGAGATGAAGAGACGAATCCAAGGCTTTCCCCCTGATACTGGATTTTTCATATTCTAATACTGGGAAGTTTGTTTTGGCTGGGTTTACGTGATCGGAAGTTTTTGCAATCTATTATCGGTACAAACCCTATAACTCCCCTGTAATGGTCTGTTATGAACCTGCATGGGATCTTCGACGGATAAGAACACACGAATTTACATCTCCCGCGAATCTTTGATCAGTCGTCTGATACTTTTGAATTGTTTTTTCACACCTTTTACAACTTTTGCAGATGATCGTGTCCTTTGTTGTCGGTTTGTTGCTTCCATCTGCATGGGCTGCTGAATGTTCGATCAGCAACGAGGATGTTTCTGCGGAGATAGAGGTAAGCTTAATAGATCTCTTCAATTGACTTGTAACAATGGCCCATAGGTTTTTCTGAACAACGGCATGATATTGAAGACATGGAATTTGTTCAAATTGGCCCAGACAAAAACTTTATAACCAGGCGTTCCGGCGAGATCACCTTGACAACCTGAAAGGATTAGATTTGGTAGGTGACAGGACTGAGCTTCGTCCATAGCGGGCGGTGCAAGCGCGAAAATTCGCCTTTGAGGAGAAATTCACAACTCCTGTTTCCTAAAGCATAGAGCGGTCAAATCTGTTGAGGGTGTAAGCGTTCCGTTGAGAAACGAATGAGATCCGCTTTTAAGAGGTAGGTTTTCCTGAACTTTCGCCCATTTTCAGATAGATCGTCAAAGTTGCAACCAAGAAGGATTATTTTCATGAATATAAAAAAGATGTCCCTGATACAAGGAATTTCAGCGAAAACTCGTGTTTGAATTTGGGTAGAGTTTAACACGGAAAAGTTTCGAAGCAATTCTAAAATACAGAAAAGTCACTGATGGTTTCCTCAAAAACTCTTCTCAAGGCCAAAACTAACAAGAGCCGGTGGAAAAGCCATTCACCTACATAAGACAAGATAGGGTGGATGGATGCAAATTGGATGGTGTGACAGTAGTATGAGACTTACTCACTATTCTCATGGTGAAACAGTTTTACAGCCCCGTGAAATGACAGAAATTTTGGGTTTCCGATTGGTACACTATGATATGCTTTACAGATTTACATTACTTTATTTTAGGCAGTAGGCGACGATGTAAAAGTTACATTTATAAATCCGAAAATCGCAACCGGTAAATGGACAGCAATTGCTTTCGGCGACAAAATGGTATGTAACAAGGACTACTTTGTGATAAAAATTTGGTAGTAAGTATAAAGAAGTTCATCATTCCTTATTGATATCCTTTCGGCTTTTACCGCGATACTAGTATGAACCTCTCTGGGTCCCTCCATGACTGCTTTCATAGTGCGCAGGGCGGGCCGCGAGCGCTTATGCGCGCCAGCCGGGGGCGGCGCTTGTCGCTTGCTTACAACTGAAACTTGATCGATACCGCAGGCCGAGTAGTCCCCCGGCCGGCCGGCGGACTGTGAAATCAGCCTATCGATCCTTTGTGCGAAGGACTACTTTGGATCATGAGTTGCCAGGTCACGGATAGGTCAGATAGGTTTGAGGGAAACACTTCACTACTCAATACTCAACACTAATTTGTTCAAATGTGTAGCTCATTTGTTGTGTATTTCCTCAGAACAGACCTTACCTTTGATCCGATTCCCACCTCAAAATCTCGCCGGACCTTCAACTCATTTATTCCTCTGCCCTGAATAGATAGCGTCTTGTTTCGTGCGGTGACTCCAATACCTTTACTAAAGGCCGTGTGAGTGCAATAAAATGTCGCAAATGATCGGTCAGCGGGACCACGAAGAAAGAGGTCCACCGGCGTCCAACCTGCAAGTCCTGTTCATGGTTTTTTCGAAGATTGTCTATGACCAGAGTGGCAGACGCTTTAAGAATATTTCCGAAAAAGAGGGCAAGAGGGAAGAGGACGTGGGCGAATTTCTTCGGGTCATCAAGAATAATTATCTAGTTTCGAGCGGGTGTCATCAAAACCTGTGCCTGAAACGGTGGTGATGAAAATCTATAAGAAAAATTCACTTTAATCGGTTTTATTCTGGCTAGTGAGTCAGGTGAAGAAAGCCGTCTCGAGGCTATTCCTCATCCGATCACACGTGGTCATGACTGATAATATAACTGTAATGTTGTGATAGTTTCATTCATCCAGAAATTAAAGAGGGCTATGTGGGCTCATTTGTACGACATCTAAGCTGTGTGAGAAGACCGTGGGATGCTGAATCGCTCTCAGTCAGAACTTATTCAACAATGGATTGAGAATGTTCTGGAAACAGCTGGAGAGCCAAGCTCGGGCTCCAATGCCCCGAACAAGGGCTGGTTCTGAAGTACATGCATCCTGTATTGCCTCCTCTCCTGTATTTTATGTGCGCTCCTTCCTCAGTTGACTTTAAAAAGGAAACTTTACGGAACAGAAGCTGTCCACCGAGTTTTACGTGTGCCCTTTTTCCAAACTTTTTTTTTCACCAGCTTTAACTCTGTACATTTTTTATTATCTATTATGGAATCTTCCCAGCAAAGCCACCTCTGTCACAAGATGTGACCTCTGAGGAGATTTTCGCATAATAGAGATTCAGATTTGATTTTAGAAAGACCTCGAGGTGGTTATCGTGAAAGTCGAAGAGTCCCCCAAAGCGGTCACCGGCTTTACAAAGCAATATGGCCCTCCAACATTGGATGAAGAAGCCAGCGTCAAAACGGAACAACTTACTTTTAAAAGTGAGTAGTCTATCCAAAAAATCTATGAAAGCATTCCAAAGATAGAATACAATTACGAGTAATCTGTTCAGATGGTAATCTAACATTTCAATTCACACGTCCGTTAGGGAAAAATGGACCTAGAGAGCATTCGTTGGAAGGGTGTCAAACGTGGAACGTGAGTTGTAGTACTGCTTTCTTGTATTCATTCTGCAAGTCTGGGACCTGATACCATACTCATCCTCTGGGCAATACTTTCCTATCATTAGATGGGACTGGTGTGCTGAAGGATCGGCAGTTATAGTTTTCAGAAGAAGCATAAAGTACCAACTTTTTTCCACCTTCTCTCAATTGGCTACTTGTGAATGCAGCCCCCAGAATTTTCCTAAATGGGACACCACATTGTTGGCAAAATTATAACCCCAGTCAATACGAAAAACCCAGAAGATTCTGTAAGAATCGAAGCGTTCTAGAAGGAACCCCTAGATAGTTTCTACCCATACGGACAAGATTTATGCTGAATTTCGATTTTTTGTAATTTTTCAGTACATTCCTCTGTTCTAAAACAGGTGTGATTATAAGCAGTGACAAACCTGCTTCAGTAATTTTTGACGATCGGTCATCATAGTGCATTTTCCCAATTTCGGCCCCTTTACGGCTACTTATCTTAATGTGAATTCCTTGAGGGTGAATGGTAAAAAACCAAGTCAAGCGGGTGTGCTGTTACGGTTGAAACACACTTTGCCACCATGTAGTTCTGTGATGTTTTCGCTGTTTAATCGCTTGTTTTCGCTGTTCACGACTAGAACTAAAGTTATTTTGTGAACCATTCACATCTTCTCTTCTGATGAAAATTTGGATTCTGAAAAATTTTCGCCGTCATCATTGCTATAAGATGATTGTTGGCAGATGAGTTGAAGGTCTGTCCGTCAACGAGCATAACTACTGGTTAGAGGGGAAAGGAGGTTGAGTGAAATAACCTCATCGCACCTTTTTTGTGCGCATCTTTGTTCCACACTTTTCATATGGAGGTAGAGAATCAGCCAAGGAAGAACTGCTAACTCATAGCAGTAGTTGACTCCCTTCAACATTTTCTTGAAATCCATTTTTAAGGAATAAATCAGCTTGAATTTAATGTTCGTAGAACTCACTCATCACTTCAGAAGTCAGTTGATCCGACCCTCTTAGCTCTGAAGTTTGACGTCATAAAAACCTTTTGGAGGTATGAAACCTTGTGAACGAGAGGGCTTTCTTTGAATAGCAACATTTGCCATCTGTTGAAGTTGAATGTGGTGTAGTGGCTCACTACCGCGCACAGACGGTCGTGGGATCGAGTCACACGTCAATGCTACCTCAAGTGAATCAAGCTTATATCCCTCAGGATCGGTTTATGGTAACAAGTTCCTCTGGGAGGATAAAAGCACTGACTTGCACGGGCCACACCAGGGCATTGCGTAGGCAAGATATCCATTCAACCGCCACATCAATTCTAACTGAAAGTGAATGCATGGCTCTTTACAAAACCAAAGTTGATCAAGTTCCAAGACTCTGCCATCTGTTCTACAACTGTTCAAGAAGTTTGCATATTACTAGGAGCGTTTTACAAATTTGCCATAATTGCAGCCTATTTGTATATGGCAGGTTACATATTTGATTCACTTCAAAAAGTGCAGCGGGTGGTCCAGAAAAAAGACCTCTGGCTAGAGCACAAAGCGATTTTTCACCATTTTATTCATTATTCCTTGTTTTATGGAATAAAATATTTGAGAGTTTCATTCAAGAATTCCACGTGAATTGCTCCAAGAGTAAATGTAATTTCTTCAGTTTGTGAAGGAAGGACCACTCGAGAAGGGAGCAATCAAAGGCCATAAAGGATCGAAGATCCATAAGATTGAAGTTTGTCCGGGAAACTGCAAGGAAGAAGAAGGCACAAAGAAACCTGGTTCATTTAATTTTCCGAAGTATCTCCTATATTTATGGTCGCTTATCATGGTCTTGTATTAAATCTTCTCAAAAACTGTACTTATGGAGCCTTTGTTATTTATAAAAATAAAAGGTGTATCCCGAAATAGTAAAAGCAACGAAAAGATTGATGTCCAATAGAGTAAATTTTTCGGCATTTCTCCTCTGAACTCCTCAACTATGTGCATCAAATACCTCGAAGAGAATTAATTTCGCAAAACTCGTTTTGTGTCGTGGCAAGATTACACGGACCTTTTCTCACGATTTAATTCCTTCTTCAGGTGAGTGATCAAGTGGTAGTAGCTAGGAGAGGTCAGCACTGAGACGCTGAACCGAATCTCCTCTCACAGAGCCCTCTCAACTTCCAATAATGGAACATGAGTATTCGAAAGGTCAAAGATTCAAAAAAATAAGCTAATCATTCCATTCAGATATATGGACGATTTATTAATAGTACATAACCAGACTGAATCGGATATTGAAGAGCACCTTTCTTCAATATATAAAAATACACTTAAACTCAAAAAAAAACACATTTGAGTGAGAGAAATAGTAATTACTCAGACTTGAATAATATTATAACCAATTGTAAGATAAGTACCAAACTATATAATAAAACTGATGATTTCAGCTTCAATATCATTAGATTTCCTCACTGCGATACTGATATCTCCAATACCATTAAAGCCTCTGTTCTATACACAGAGGCATTGAGAATTGCTCTCA